TGTTCTCTTCCTTTCTTAGAAGAGACATGCAATGTTCAGAGGGTATTTCCAGTTGACTCAGACAAAGAGAACTTACCTGTTGTGTGAGGAAGGAGAAACACAATAGATGACTTCTTGTTTTGATCCTACTCGAACTTGGTTACTTGACTTCATCTTTGGGGACCCAAGTTTCTTCATCTGTAAAATAGAGATGTAACTACAACTCTTAAAAATATAGTTGAATTTTAAAATTCTCTAGAATAATCTGACTGAGCAAGATGATTTTAGAGGGTGGGTGGGCTTTGTGGTAGGTTGTGTTGTTTTTTTAAAATATATTTTTATTGATTTCAGAGAGGAAGGGAAAGGGAGAGAGATAGAAACATCAATGATGAGAGAGAATCATTGATCCGCTGCTTCCTGCATGCCCCACACTGGAGATCAAGCTGGCAACCCGGGCATGTGCCCTTGATTGGAATCGAACCCGGGACTCTTCAGTCCACAGGCTGATGTTCTATTCAGGAGCCAAACCAGTTAGAGCCAGCCAGGATGACTTTCTGATCTGACTTATAGTCATTTGCTGGCAAGTCTTATCTCCTTGTTTACGACCAGAATTAAAATTCTTGCCCAGCCCGTGTTGTTCAGTGGTTTGATTCCCAGTCAGGGAGGGCCCATGCCAGATTGCAGGCTCGATTCCCAGTAGGGGACGTACAGGAGGCAGCCAATCAATGTTTCTATCTCCCTCTCCCTCTTTCTCTAAAATCCAATAAAAAGATACTTTAAAAATTATGTAAGGAACTGGTTCAGCTATCCAGACACTTTCTTTTGTTCTCCCTTTACTTGAACACAGTAAGCCCTAACAAGTATTATTTACAAGTGAATGAAAATAACCAACTTTAAGAACTCAAGAATTTCCTCTGGGGGTTATTTATTGACCTCTTGAAATGTTGTTTCTGTCACTCACATTCTAACAACTTAAAACTTCTTTTGTCTTAAAATATTTATTTTTTGCTATTGTAGTAACTCTTTACAAAGCATGCTCTCTTTAATCTCCCAACAAACTTGAAAAGTACATATTAATATCATTTTTCAGGTGGGTGGAGGGATTGAGCCAAAAAGGAAAAAAAAAAAATAGAGAGAATTCATGGACACGAACAACAGTGTGGTGATTGTGGGCGCGGGTGGAGGGGGAGGGGGTGTGGGCTGAGGGGGATGAGGGAAGGTGGAAGGGGAATGAGGGGAGGTGGAAGAGGCTATGGGGGGATAAATGGTGATGGAACAAAATAATAAAGAAAAAAATATATATCATTTTCCAGATAGAGAAACAAAGGTTCATAGGGGTTAAGGGGTTTGCCCAAGAGCACTGGCTACTAAGGGCAAAAGCAGGACTCGATTCCAAATCTTTTCAGATTCCAAAGCCCACCTTCATGAAGAAGATACTTAGATACTTAGAATCTAAATTCTTTAAACAGAGGTAGTAATTGCCTCACAATTGAGGCAAACTGGTGTATGGGTATCCATTGAAGAACAGCAACAATGGTGTATTTGTAAACAAACTTCCTCCTCCCCGTTCAGTCCAAACAGTCTCTAGTTTTAAGCAGCTATTTCGTGACATGCAGCATTGAAGTCTAGCCTTGAGTTTGTAATCATGCCACTCACACAGGTTCACCAGGAGTTTGCAAACGTAATCACTCTGCTCTTAAGCAACAGACATTTTAGTGAGAGAAAAGGAAAACATTTTTAATAAAGATCTAGGAAAGAAACTGATTGACCCAATCCCATTAGGACAATTTAGACTGGAAATAATAGCCTTTTGCTTTTAGCTTAATCTGAGTAAGCAACTGAGTTTTTTCAGTAAGCATCTCATAATGACTCCCAATTCTCAGAACATTGAAAACCCTTTCAACAATCTCTACAGGAAAATGAAGTCTGCTATTTGTGAGAGGAGAGAGAAAATAGCAGCATTGCATACTGACTGTGCAAGTCTATAATAAACACTCCATGGAATGTGTCTTGTGTGTATGTTACACTTAATCCACAATGAATACATTAGACTAATCTTTTTTTCCGAAGAACAATTTTCTGTAGATATTTGTGTCTCGTTAAAAATCAAAACAGAACTTACTTGTCTGTCTTTGAAAGTCATTTTGCCTTAAGAATGCCTTCTTTATATTCTGGATCTGTAAGGCCTTTATTGATTATTGAAGCCTTCTTTTAGCTTGACAGTTTTAATATAACATAATAGGGAAGTTTTAATATGACATACAATACGAAAGTCAACTCATCCACTCTTCCCCCACTTATACCTTTAAAAAAATCATTGTGGAATAACACACATTAGAAGTTTGTCATAGACACGCCTAGCAATTTTCTGCTGCTGACTAACTGTTTACCTCACACAGGTGAGGACACTGACCTTTCACACAGGTGAGGACACTGACCTCTCTCAGTGTAATTTTGGGCTCTCTGACTCAAATTCAATGGGTCTAGTAATTATGGAGAATAAACAAAATTTTGGATGAGAGACATTAATATTTTTTGTTGAATTTATGCAACTTATCTGTACATATATAATTTTATTTACTTATAGATAAATGTATATATAATGTATAATTTTATTTACATACCAAGTATTTAACTAGAATTTTCTTATTGAAGTTTATAGTTTAACTAGAGGCCCAATGCACGAAATTCATGCAAGAGTAGGCCTTCCTTCCCCCAGCTGCCCTCTGGCACCCGGGACCCAGGCTTCCCTGGCAGCCCTGGCTTCATCCGGAAGGTCGTCTGGTCTAATTAGCATATTATGCTTTTATTATTATAGATAAAAGAATAAAAACCTCATCTAAAAATCTATGTCCTGCTCTAGCTGGTTTGGCTCCTTGGTTGGAGCTTCTGCCTTCAGACTGAAGGGTCCCGGGTTTGATTCCAGTCAAGGGCACCTACCTCGGTTGCAGGCTCCATCCCTGGGCTGGTTGGGGCGCGTGTGAGAGGCCTGTCTCACATCACTGTTTCTCTCTGTTTCTCCCCCTCCCTTCCGCTCTGTCTAGAAATCAATGGGAAAAATATCCTCGGGTGAGTATTAACAACAACAAAAATCTATGTCCTTATTGTATCTATGTTGAGTGGATTTTCAGAAATTATAATAAAATCTTTTTACTGGCAAATACCTACAAAATAATAAATTGATAAATATATTAAGGAATATTACACAATTTCAAGCTGTTTCCAAGCATGATTAAAGTTTGACAAATTTAACTCCCAGGATCCATCACTTTTGCGGCTGAGGGCTGTTTGTGGATGGTTAGGTCTGCACACATGTGCCCAGGTATGCAAAAGATGACGCTATAAACCACAGATCACAACCTGGTGATTCTATCACAAATGTATTTTGAAAGATGAATTTGTTGCAAATATTTATAAATCAGCAAATATCAGTGACAGCAGATTACCTCTGGGAGGGAATTTTCTGGCTGTAAATTTAGCCTTAGAAAACGCATGTTTATTAATACAGGGATATATGTATGTATAGTGCATGTAAACCATTACATGAAATGGCACAAAATTAAGGGCGAGGTTTGGCAATTATCCTGGTGATTAGCTTGATAAAAACAGCAGATCTATTTCTGTTCCATGATGGATATTTTGGTTTTAAATTAATTCTATTACTACAAGACCTGAATTAATTAACCAGGTAATTTTGCAAACTGGCAAAATCTCCTTCAAACTGAAATAGGTATTTCCTGCTTATGCCTCTGTTGCTATGTAGCTTTTAGATGGATTAATTTTAAAAAGTTGAGCTTTCAAGTTTCCTTACTGACAGTCCTATAAACTTGACTTTAGATCTGAAAGGGATGTTACTATTTCCGAAAACTGTAATCCACTTTTTGAGCCACTCTTCTCACCCCCAGGAGAGTGTATGTGTGTGAGAGAAAGGAAGCCAGGCACTGTGAGTTCAAAGAGCAATAAATGATACAAATAAAGCTGTCTCTTCTTTTTAAAAAATAATTGAGGTAACATTGGTTGATTACATTATATGTGTCAGGTGTACATTATAATTCAATATCTATATACACTATAGTGTGTTCATCACCAAAGTCTAGTTTCCATCCACCACTATATATTTGATGCCCTTTACTCATTTCATCCTCCTCCCCATTCCTTCCCCTCTGATAACCACCAATCTGTTGTTTGTATCTGAGTCTGTTTTTGTTTTATTGTTTGTTTCTTTTTGTTGGTATTCCACTTACGAGTGAAATCATACAGAGCTGTGTTTCTTTAATGACCCTCCTTGGCTCCCCTACAGCCTTCTGCCTAGGTTTGGGTTCTAGGTTTCTTGGCTGGAGAGGAAGGCCTTATAGGAGGTGCAAGTCCCACTTGCAGATATTGTTGCTCTAATTCTGTCTAAGTTGTAGTTTCTGGCCTTGGGTCATGACCCCAAACAGGAAGTGCCTCTGAATTCCTCCAAACATGGTATGTGGAGGAGGAGGCAGAGTTTAGTACATAAATACCCAGCTACCAGCTTTTCATATTTGCAAGAGATCAAGAATAGGCCACTTAGGGTCAAGAATATATCCTTTCTTCTCCCTTCAAAGGAGCAAATAGTGTTGTCTTACACTCTAGGTGAAATACAGACTTCAACTCCAGAGCTATATTTGGCTTGGAGTGTTTCTTTGATGCTACCCATGTTCACTCTACCTTAAAGAATTGCATGAATAAAGTAACTTAAACTTAATTTGTATTGATGTCTGATCAGTTTCCTGGGGGAAAGTTTAAAGCCAAAACATTGAGGAATGGGGAGGAGGAGTGAGAACATATTGATTGTTTTAGAGGTGCAACTAATATTTGAATATAAAGTAGAGTTTTGGTAGAATGGCAGAAAAACAAAACAGGGTTGAAAGGTGTCTAGAGGTCATACCCACCCTCTTCCTGAGGATGCATGAATCACTGCCTATTCTGATTCCTTCTCTCTGAACTGCTCTATTTTTTTTTTCAGGTTTTTGCTACTTCAGGAAACCACAGTTTTTGGCTGATAGAAAATTTGCAGCAGCAGTATACAACGAGAGAGCTATTTCTGCCCCGTTGTCGGTGAAGTATTGACATTATCTAGTATGTAATAGACTTTGCCCTCTAAGAAAATGCTGTTCTTAGCTGGCTATTGAGAAATGTTTCAAAAAGGCTCGTATCTGTGGTTTTTGAACTTTCAGCTATCAGGTTTTCTGTATATCTCGGAATACCAATAATGTTCCTCTGGTGAATAGGCTTGGGAACACAGTAATATACTTTCTTTACAACGTTATCATTTCCATTATTTTGAGCAAGTGTGGATCAGTATAAATTATTTAGGTGAGCATGGAGGGCCATCTCGCTAGATGCAAGGCAATCTGTTAAAGATTTGCTATCATGCCAGAGAATGAGGTGGGTGGGTGGAGAAATACATTTTATGAGTCATATGGCTTTAGGAACATGCTTGCATTTGGAAAGGAACTCTTGGTGAAATGCACTGTAAAACAACAACAACAATAACACCATGGAAACCCAAATTCACAGCATATATCAAAAGAATGAAGAAGAAAAAAAACACACCAAGCCCTGTTAATATGGCAAGGATGATCAAACAGGAGTTTAGAAATGGTTCTTAAGGCAGAGAAAGAAAACAGTAGAATGGGCTGGCTCCGGACTTAATCTGATTTCTAACAAACATGTTTATTTGCCACAGCTTCTCTGAGGGGCAAGGGAAAGTGAGGAAAGAAAAGAGGGTGGACGGAGAACTAGCACTTAATGTCTTCTTCCTATACTTATTGGTATCACTGAATCATGCTGAGTTTTACAGTGTGGCCTGAAATTCACCTCCTTAAGTTTCAGAATCTCTGGGACTTGGGCCTATGAATTTGTGTTTAAGAACTCTTTTGCACACTAAAGTTTGAGCATCATTGATCTGGGGAGTGGGGAAGGGAGAGGGAGAACAATTCCTTTTGGTCTTTGGGGCCCAGAAGGACACATTATTAAACTCTCCAGATTTCGTATGTAAGAATGTGTCACCTGCAAATAGAGATAGTTTTCCTTCTTCCTTTCCAATCTGGATGCCTTTTACTTCTTTTTCTTACCTAATAGCTCTGGCAAAAACCTCCAGCACAATGTAGAATAGAAGTAGTGAGAGTAAACATCTTCATCTTGTACCCAGCTCTCCATATTTTGAAGGGAAGAATTGGCGGACTAATGGCAATATATTAGAAATACACTTTTGAAGGTTGTAGTTTGGTATCTTCCATTTAAGACCTGGATTCCATCAGGAGAAGCTTACACAGCGGAAATATCTAATGGATTCCAATTCATTCCTAGAATGGGAGTGTGGTCTTCCTCTCAGGTCCTCGGGCAGCAGAGCTGGGTACATAGAGATTCTTAGGGAACTCCTAATGAGTATGGGTGAAGGTCTTGAGCTATTGCCCTCTAAACTGAGGGTGGGGACTTGGTATACCAGTGGTCTCTTGTGGAGATTCGTTGAAGTTAAATAAGCAACATTGCCAAGTTACATATAATTAAGTCCCATATCCACTGGTCAGCATGTGTGGCATAGAACTTGGACTATGCATTTTTAAAATAAAGCTCCTAGACCATTTTCATCTACCTCCTGGTTAAGAAAAACTTCAGTGTAGAAGCCAAACTTTAGAGATAATCTAATATCCCCCAGATTCCTGTGACGATCCCCATGAATAGTGCAGTCAGAGAGATAAAGAAATAAAAGGCCTGTTCTACTTACTATGGCTACATAAATGACCTCTTAAATGGTATAAATCAACCAGTAATGATGCTCATAGATTCTGTGGAATTCAAACAAGGCTTGAGTGGATTACTTACTCTGAACCACGATGTCTGGGACCTTGAGTGGAAGACTTGAAAGTTGAGGACTTGGATTAGCTGAAGTTTATTTACTAATATATCTGGTGGTTATTCTGGTTGTTGACTGAGACCTCAGCTCAGGCTGTCTGCTGGAATACCTCTACGAGGCCTTTCCATGGGTCCTGGGATTCCTCACAGCAAGATGGCTGAGTTCTGAGGGCAGGAATCCCAACAAAGCAGAGACTCTTATTGCCTTCCCCCACCTAGCCTGGAGATCATGCAGCATCACTGTTGTTGCATTCTACCTATTAGAAGCAAGTCACTAAGGTGGACCATATTTAAAGGAGAAGAATTAGACTCCATTCTTTGTGGGAAAAGTGTCAAAGAATTAGATTAAAAAAAAACAATTACAGGTGCGCTATGGAAAAATATGACAATAATCACAATATCTAAATTATTGAACACTTACTAGTACATGTCAGAGTCTCTTCTAAGCATTCTATGCAAATTACCCCAGTCCTCCCACAAGACAGGTGATATTATGCTATTGATGTTAAAAATAGGGAATCTGGGGTTGCCTAATTTTCCTTAAGCATAACTGGCTAGAAAGTAAGAGTAAGGGGATTAAGTCCCAGATAGCCTGGCTCCAGAAATAGTTTCCTATTCACCACTGGATACTACGATAGAACTGAGGAGACGTTGGATCTAGTCCAAAGTACTAATTGGGGAGGAACCTATTATGCTTTAAGTGTTTTCCATGCCTAAAGCCCCATTCTGAGGAAAGATGACTGTTCAACTTTGTCTCTCTCTATCCTAACCTGATTGACCAGGGAAGGACATCTTCCTATTGTCATCTTCTGTATTAGCCCTGAGGTCTGGTGGGAGAGCTCTGCAGAACTAGGCAGAGTTCCTAATTGAGCCCATTGGATCCTCCTCCTTGGAGCTTGAATGTAAGTCTATTCGAGGGTAGTGAACTGCAGAGAGGAGCAGAAGGCAGGAGACACACAATAATAAGTCAGAAAGGTCCCACAGGAAGTAGAAACCCTGGGAAGCAGGAATTAAGCACAGAGGAGAATAGAGATATGTGTCCCTATGAACAAAAGCAGTAAAAAGCAAAGGCAAGCAAAGGCAGAGCCTTAGCTAGTTTGCTCAGTGGATAGAGCCTTGGCCTGAAGGGTCCCCGGTTCAATTTGGTCAAGGGCACTGTACCTCGATTGCAGGCTCGACTCCTAATCCAACCGAAGCTTACAAAAAAAAAAAAGCAAAGGCCAAGAGTAGTTATTGTCCATAATAGAAGACTGAGCATATGCAGTTGACCCTTGAACCAAGTGCGGGGTTAGGGGGCCATGGGCTGGTATATCGCGTGTAACTTTTGACTCCTCCAAAATCTAAGGTTAGCCCCTTGAATCGGTGGATTCAATCAACAGCTATGGAAAACAGTATTTTCAATCTGTGATTTTGACCTGTAGTTGGGAATGCAAAAATACATAATAGAAGACTGAGCATATGCAGTTGACCCTTGAACCAAGTGCGGGGTTAGGGGGCCATGGGCTGGTATATCGCGTGTAACTTTTGACTCCTCCAAAATCTAAGGTTAGCCCCTTGAATCGGTGGATTCAATCAACAGCTATGGAAAACAGTATTTTCAATCTGTGGTTTTGACCTGTAGTTGGGAATGCGAAAATACTTTTTTTTTTTGATCCGTGGTTAGTTGAATCTGCAAATGCAGAATCTGCGGATGCGAAACCTCAGGATAAATAGAGCCGGCCCCATTTTTTGAAAGAAATCCGTGTGTAAATGGAGCCAAGCAACTCATTTACTAGAGCTACCCTTTTGCACCCGCAGTGTTCAGTGCTCAGCTGGCTATGCTGCCATGGAAAGTGCCCACCCTGTGCATCCTAAAGCAAGTCTTCACGATCTGAGGTAACATGAGCTTCTCTCTTTCTGTTCCTATAACTTGAAATGCCCTCACCCACTGACTGTGCCACTCATGAGTCCTGTGGCCTGGGACAGGTCACTTCCCTGTTTGCCTGTTTAAAAACATCGCTAAGGTGTGAGTTGAGCCAGATGATATATAAATTCATACCCGGCTCCAAAGTTTATTTATTATTCTGAACGTTGGTGTGGAGGGGTTGGCTACTAGACTGATTGCAAAATCACGGCAATTCCCCCACCTTCTTTATTCCCGGCCCCCTCTCCAAGTACAAAGTTATTTAAACTTGAGACTTCGGTCGCATAAGGAATCCAATGGGCAGTATCTGCTTGCAAATTAGCTGTGCGGCCTCTGGGTACCGGGTACCGCTCCCCCCACGCCCGCCCCTTTGCAGGCTTCCCCGGGTTTGTGCAGTGTTTCCTTTCTAGGCAGCAGGTGAGTGAGTGTACTGACCCTGTCTTCTCTCATTTCACAAGAGGCCTTGTTTTCGAGGGAGAGATGAAAATAAACTGTGGGAAGTTGCAAGCATGCTGATGGGAACTGAGATAAAATGTAGAAAGGCTGCTTCTGGGTTTGGTGTGGTCAGAGGTGACTGTAACTACTGTCCAGGGAGGAAATTTGGAAGGGATGGTTTTACAGGTTCTATTAAAAATTCTGTTTAATCTCAAGCAGGGTTTACAGTGGAACAGGTCAGCATTTGCACTTCAGAGAAATGGAGGGGGTGGGTGGTGGTGGGGGTGAGAGACATAGAATTTTGGACGTGGCAGGGCCCACGGGACTCTTGTGTTAACCTCTGCCCTCTCACACACTTTCATCTGCCCCTTCCCTACATGAGTTGGAATTTAGAGGAAACCATAGGCAGAGCTCCAGATGGAACATTGGGAGACCTGGAAACAGTTTTGGCTCTGAGACCAGTTTATTGTGGGACTGTGGGCAAAACCTTCTTGGGCTTCTTAGTTTTTCTATTTGTATACGAAAGATAATATTATCTGTTTTTGCTTATGTCACCATAATTTTGTGCCAGTTAATGGGATATTGGGCTCTATTCTCTCCAGTTTTTCAGTAAATTCCTAGCATTAAGCCAAATGTTGGGGGAGTTAATATGGGGTTAACTCTTTCAAGACTTCTGTGTTATATATCACTAGTGTATTGAACTAAATAGCATTGTATAGTCTACTTATAGAATAGAGTGCCAAAAGTGCACTGAGTTATGTGAATGGTACCCTAGAGGCCTAAAAGAGTTCATGTGCTCGCCTCTGGTAGGGTCGATTGGATACGTCTACTTATAGAATAGAGTGCCAAAAGTGCACTGAGTGATGTAAATGGTACCCTAGAGGCCTAAAAGAGTTCATGTGCTTGCCTCTGGTAGGGTCGATTGGATCCATCAAGACATGACATAAGACATGGTAGAAAGAGATGGCTAAAAAGTCTCTCAATGGGGCAAAAGTTAGCAATCCACTAAAAATAATGGAATTGTACTTCCTTTTCAGTCCCTCTCCCCCTGCCCAATCACACACACACATCTTGATATTACACTACTTACTGGAAATCAAATTGAGCTGTGCTTAAAAGGTGCTTTGCATTCTTGGTGAAAGAAATAAATATACATCATCTTAAACTGTCCATTTATATTCTAAAATGGGGTAATTTTTCCCCTTTTTCTTTTCTCTACCTACTCACAGAAGCCTGGTTACTCACCTGAGGGGTCATGGTTGATTTATTTCAGCCCTGGAATCCAATGAAAAGACAGGTTTCTGTGATTATACTAACACACCTAGAATAACAGGCCATGGAACTCCAGTGATTGCCCTGCTATAATAAACAATGTGGAAAAAGTCTTAGCTCCAAGGAAACTTCCATTCTATTGGTAGCAAACATATTGGAAGCAGACCAAGAAGTTCCTTGAATTTCAACCTCCAGAATTTGGCATTATCCTCCTACTAAGGGTAATGGGCAATCACTGGAGTTCTTCATTTTGTACTTAGTTGACTCCTTTATTCTTTTAGTATGAAGATAAACTTAATGAATTAAGGAAATTAACTGATGTAAGGTAGTATAATGGTTAAGGGTTTTGGCGGGAGCGGGGGGAATGAGGGGGTGCGCAGAATGCTTGTATTCAAATCCCTGGGCTGCTGAGGTCATTGGCTTCTGTGGACTTGAAAATTGGGCATGATAACACACATGTATAAATAAATAATTGTATAAATACTAGAGGCCCGATGTACGAAATTTGTGCAAGAGTAGGCCTTCCTTCCCTCCAGCCGCCGGCACCCAGGACCTGGGCTTCCCTCACAGCCCCGGCTTCATCTGGAAGGTCGTCTGGTCTAATTAGCATATTACACTTTTATTATAGATTACTAATATAATATTTTGATGACATTAATAATTAATCATGTTTTATATATTTATAAAATGTCAGAAGGATTACTATAAATAAATAAAGCCCTATACTCATGTCTGGCACACAAAGTGCACTATGTAAATGTTAGTAATTTTTATTGTTTAGCTGGACAGAAGAAAAAGTTGGCATTTTTGTTTTGTCTGCCCCTACCATTATTTTTCCCTCCGGAAAAGTTATTGGTCCCTGAAATTCAAAAGACTCAAACACATTCAGTTAGGTTGTGTGGTCTGGGAGCGCATCATCCATGCCTTATATTTCTCTTAACCGTATAATATATGAATAGAGTAAAAGTTTCTCTTTATAGTTCCAATTTCTTCTAAGCCTGTTGGTATGCCCCTATGATAAAAATGCAATAACATATATTTCTGTATACATATTTACTTAATACTATTAGTAAATGTTAATTATCATTCTCAAAATCTAAAACGTTTACTGTAAATTTTGTCTTCTATTTAAGATACTTCCTTCAACAAATGACCATGAGTAATGCTCTAAGAATAACAGCAAAAATGCAAACTGAGGAATAATCCCCCCTGAGGTTCAGACAATCTGCTGTCTTTTGGTATAATTAACTTCGGGATAAGGAGATCTTAGAAAAACACACAATGAACAGACACCAAACACTCAGCAAATACTCTGATTGACTTTAATTAGCAGTGATCTTCATGACACTAAAGTGATTGTTTTTTAAACATAGCTGTCACTGATAATTGGCTGGATGAAGGAGGCCACAGTAATTGTCTAAAAGATAAGCATTATAGCTTCAAGGCAACAACACAGTAAGTAGACACTAAGTTTTATCCCAGTGTTTTATCAATGTTGAAACTGTCCTAGATAAAATTTGGAGACTAGGAGTGAGCAGGAGGGAACTGAAAGAAGAAATCAAGGTTGTAAGTCTAGAAGAGTACATTTGGAGAGGAGGAAATTTCCTCTCTCTTTTCCATCCTTATAACTCTTAATTTAAAAAAGAAGTGCCTGCTTTCTATACACAACTTATACCTAAGTCTCCCTGGGGCTATATTTTTTCAAGGCTAATGGAAAGGAGTAAACCTAATTTATTTAGACAGATTTCTATTTAAGCCACTATATTAATCACAGGATGACTTATTGGCAGATTAGAAATTTTTTAGGAATACTCCAAATGGCAGACTTATTCGAGTCACAAAGCTTTTTAAAAAAATTTCATCTATAAGAGATTAAAATTTCCTGAGTAGGATGGTGGGGAAAATGGGGGCTGTCTTTTGGAAATTTTATTAGGGTGGCATAGGGGCACTGGTGCATAGCATAATGATTCCATCTACACTCAATTTCATTGCCAAGTGGGGCCAGTTGGTGCTTCTAAGGATTCCATTTGACTGACAGATCACAGAAACTTGAGCACTGAGGCATGAGGCATAATACAGTGACTGCTCATACGTCCAATATTTGAAGAAAGCCTTAAATTTCAAGGGAGGGGTTTGTGACTGAATTAACATTACTAGGGAGGTGCACAACCCCCTAATAAAATTGTTGTCAAGGCTCTTCCATTGACGTTCAACCTCAGATCTGTGCCATAACCTATAACCATTATCATTCTATCAATAGGCTTTATTCATACTTTGTCTTAAGAAGAAGAAAGTAGAAAAAGCCAATTATGGCAACTTCGGCACGAGTTCACTATTCAAAGCTGCTTTTCAAGAAGAGGAAATAACACTGCTGCCTATCAGAATTATTTTGGTTATATGGTGCTTATGTGTGGTGCACAACATGTGGGTTTTGATCAAATGCATCTTTATGTTTCCTACTTTCCCTTTATTTTTATTCGTGGGGGCAGGGTAATCTTCATCTGACCCTAGGTAAAGGTCTGGGCTCCTCCCACGCCTTTTCTGTTAAGTCAGGTAAACAATAGTCCTGTGGTCATTTTAAATGATAAGTATAGCTTTAACTTAGTCTTGACAATATCCAGGGCCATGCAAAGTCAAAACTCCAAATATCAAAGCTCTCCAGCCTGAAGCCTACAGTAGGAGAGGGAGCAAGCTTGTTTCCTCTTCCTCCTTCATGCTCCCTGCTCACCTCCTTTCTAGGGTCAAATGTGTGTGGGAGGGCAGAGAGATAAAAGGATAAGAGCATGGTGTCCTGGCCAGGTGGCTTTCGCTCTCTGACTTGGCAGATGGTTAAAGCTGGCCTCCCTTGGAAATCCTAGCTAGCATGGGCTTGGAACAGAAATAGACTTTCTCTTTGCGTCAATCTCATGGACTTGTCCCTTGCTGAGTGCCTCTCTCCCATAGTTCATTTTACCTCCATGGATGCAACTGTAACCCAGGGATTCAGTAGCAATGCCTTGCTCAGTCCTTGGGTATCTGAGGCATGCCTTCCTCGGTAGGACTTGAGGTGAGAAGGAGATGGGGGAGATTGGCATGTGGAGGCGGGACATTTAGATCATGCCAGCACTTCTCTCTTCTTGCCTCTTAGATTCCTTTTTTTGTATCGTCCATCTGCTTGAAGAGACCGATTGACATGCCCAGGCTCTTCTAGTATATTTTACTCCTGTTTCATAGTTTGAAAAGTGTGCAATCTCATTGATTCAGCTGTTTCTCACTTTTGCTGGTG